CCCTGCTTTCATTTGTCCAGCGGCTTCCCATTACATTTAACATAAAATCCCCAAATCTTGGCTTGGCCTACAAAGCCTCCCATCATTTGATCCCTGCTTACCTCTTAGTCTCACATGGTCCCCCCTTCTGCACACGCAGTAAATGCCAGCTACACAGCTCTCACTCTGTTCTTCAAGGGCAGTGAACCCTTAACTGACTCAGGGCTTTTGAAAATGAAATTCCCTCTTGTGAAACGTTGCTGGCAGTAAAATACAGAGATGAATCAGGTAGATTCCAGAGAAGCCTTCCTAGGTACAAATTCTGCCTCTGCAAACTGCTAGGTGTGTAATGTTACTTCCACCTTTCTATACCTTGAATTCCTTCTCTATAAAATGGGGGTGATGCCGGGGATTTAGCTTAGTGGTTTCGTCACCTGCTGCTTAAGCGCAAGGACCCGAGTTCGATCCCCGGTACCAAAATAAATAAATAAAATAAAATAAAATAAAATGGGAGTGATGACAATAGTATCAGCGGAGTGACAACTGTCCACATTGCCTGGGCCTGAGGGGTTTCCTAGGGTTCAGGACTTGTATGACCTTGGGATATCCTAGACTGCTTACACTCAAACTGCTACTTGAGAGTCTACCTCATTTAAATCACTGTTATTTTGTGTCTTTGTTTGAGGAGCTAAAGTTATATTCTTATTAATACAATAGCAGGTTTCACATTTTGTAATTTTGTATTTATTTGAAATGATTTTTTTTCTTTTTCCCCTGTGTGCTACTGGGGGTCAAACCCAGGGCCTCCTGAATGCTAGGCAAGTGCTCTACCACTGAGCTACACTCCCCTGTCCCTTGTGATAATTTTCTTTGTTTAAATCTTTACCACTAAAGATTAAGCTCTTTGAGGACATGGGACATATCTATTTGTCCTTCCTGGCATGTTAGCAATTGGCCCAGTGTAGGCACATTCGATTCTGAATAAATATTTTAAATGAATAAAATAATAGCATCATAAAATATCTATGCAATGTTAGCCCTATCAAATAATATTGTACAAGCAATGTATAAAACAAGCAAAAAGGCTATGCATAGAAAAAGGGATAGAAGAAAATGTAAAAATGTAAACAGTAATTGTTTGAATTACAAGTCTTACCATGATGTTTTCCTACATTTGCCTGTGTTTTCCAGATTCCCTTTATTAAGCTTTAAATATACATATAATAAAAAATACGTAATAAAATGAAGGGAGGAGAAGTTCATTGATCCCTGAGGACCTTGAAGAGAGAGAATTCTTGTCCAGGCAGGTTTAACCTCCTGTAGTCTGATGGACTGCAAGACCCTTCAGACTCACAGGTATTGTGTAAAAGCTGAAAGGCAGCCTGACTCTTAATATAGGAGCTCCCTCCTTAAAAGAGGCCATGGAAAAAATAAGACGTGGAGTAGAATTTGGAACAATAAGGCATAACTCCTTCCAGTGTACAATCAACCAAAGAACAGTCTTTATTGGGCTAAATCTTGGAAAGAAATGTTACTATGTTTTATCCACAACTACACAGATCTATCATTATCATGGATAGAGTCATATACTTATGAGAGTACAGTGAGCAAGCGACTCAGCTAAAGGCCAAGTTAATAAATGGTGCTTCTGTGGTCATTTAAGTCAACATTAATTTTCTACATATGCACTGAGCTTCTACCTCGACTATAACTCTGAATAAATGCATATGCATATATCAAAAATATAGTTTTGATTTTTTGGAACTAAAGAAATATTTTTATTTTTTTCTGGTACTGGGAATCGAACTCAGGACCTTGTGCTGGCTAGGTAGTAAAGAAATATTTTTATATACTTATAGTTCTTTAAAAAGCCTGTACTAGTGGCTGGGTGTGGTCATGCATACCTATAATCCCAACTATTGAGGAAGATGAGGCAGGAGAATGGAAAGTTCAAGCCCAGCCTTGGCAATTTATCAAGACTGTCTCAAAATAAAAAATAAAAAGGGCTAGGTATGTAGCTTTGTTGTGGTTTATATCTAACTGTCCCCCCAAAGCCTCATGTGATACAGATGGGGCTTTGGGGGAGATAATTGGATCATGGAGCTATACTCAAACGTACTCATTGATGGGTTCATATTGTTTCAAATTCTCCTTCATTAACTCGTTTAATTCTTAAATTAGACAATGAAAGGTGCAAAGGCCCCAGAGAAGCAAATATTCTGGACAATGTCTGGCTTTCCACTGAAGATACCTAGCAATCCTTTTGGTCCATTTAACAGCGGTGGTTGAAAAGCCTTCCATAATGTTTTCCCTACATAGCTGACTTTTGCTGAGTCCTTATAATGGCCCAGGAACTCTCCTGTATTAACTCATTTAATTCTCATTACAATCTCATATTCTATTATTATTTCCATTATTATTATTATTATTAGGTTCTATTATTATTTCCATTTTATAGGTGAGAAAACTAAAGCACCAGAAAAGGTAAGTAACTTACCCAAGGTCACAAAGTAATAGGAGGTGGAGGCAGGAGGTTAAACCAGGATCTGAATTCAGGTATTTTATACCAGCTGAGCTGCATGGATACACATGCAAACAAAAAAGCATTAGTAGGCTCTTACCAAGTTAGATTACAGAAGATACAGAACAGAGAAGATGTAAAGATGATTCCAAAGTGTTTCCCTTGATGGCAGTAAGGGGAATGTTGTCCAAATAAATAGATTAGGAAGAAGAGTTGGTTTGATTTGTTTTTCAGACACATGGACTCAGAAGTAAACACAAGCCTTCCAGGTGGAAAAGACTAGTTAGGTAGGAGATCAGAATTGGAAATGTGAGCTGGTGATTTTTTTTTTTTTTTTTAGTGCCAGGGTCTCATGCATGCTAGGCAAGTGTTCTATCAGTGAGCTACACTCCAGCCCTGATTTTAATGGAGCAGGTTTAAACTGTGGTATTGAGAACAGTAGCATATGTCTGTGAGTGCTAGGGAACAGAAGCCCAGAGGGAAGAGAAGAAACGCATAGGAGGGACTAATAGTAAGTAGTAGGGTGGGGCTACTGTATAGGCGGAGGAAAGATAGTGTCAGGGAGTAAAACCAAAGCTAGGTGAATTACTTAGGGTTCTTAGGGCCAGAGAACAAGGTGCTGTCCTTTGGGTTTAGGGTAGAGTCAATGCAAATACAATTGGTATCTAGGGGTAGGCAGCTGTTAGCTTGGATTAGGTCAGTGGTGGCTGTTAGGCAGATTAGTTAGACATTATCCAGCCTGAGGAACAAAGAGAGGGGGTCCAAACTAACATGCATTGCCAGTTAAATAAAGAAAGACTTCAACGTAGAATACATTTATAATCATTTGTTAGGTCTCAGACCTAAAGCCATCCACAGAGCACAATGACATTTTAAGGTTACAGATTGTGCACATTCCTCCTGATTCTACAGCCCAGAAAAGCAAGGTTTCTTAAAAGACCCTCCTGCCTGGGACTGGGACCTGGTTTAAATTAAGGACTTATCTTTCCTAAACTTTTTACATAATTAAAGCCCCTGAGGAAACACCGACCATCTAAAAAGGGACAGGAAGACATTTTGCACTTCCAAAGTAACTAAGTAAAATGTTGATAAACATCCTAATTATCCTAGTTCCCTAAACCCCAGGAGTAACCTTTGTGTGATTAGAAAGGATCCAAAGTCACACTTGGTGCAGATGCCTTCCTTGTACTGCCCACCTTCTTGCCATCTACTTTATAATAAATTCTGCCTATACTTCTCCATGGCCTATGTGTCTTGATTGAATTCCTACATCAAGGGCAGAAAGGACCAAGGACCAAGGAAGTGAGGGTCTGGCTCCTCGCTGCATTAGGACCCAGATTCCTGGTGACAGTGACAATTAGACTCAACTAATATTTTGTTTTGTTTTGTTTTGTTTTTTGGTACCTGGGATCGAACTCAGGTCCTTGCGCTTGCGGAGCAGGCAGCGAAACCACTGAACTAAATCCCCGGCCCAGACTCAACTAATATTTGAGGGGCCTGAGGATAAAAATGTTGAAAGAGGGCCAAATACCATGTAAACAAATATTTAAAAGCTACAAATCAAGATAATAAACTGTCAAAATATACCTTATCCTCCTACCTTGATAAATACATCTTCATAAGGACCTGGAAGATCAGTTTAAATTGAGAATTTTCAAACTCCTTAGAATTCCCACTGGACCTTGGAAGCCCAGAACAGGCTCTCACCTATGGCCTGCCCTGGTTCTCTTCCCTCTGCACACACTTTGGAGTAATACAAATATTTTGAATGTTTAAATTTAGTTTGTTTGGAGACAACATCTCTCTGTAGTTCAGGCTGGCCTCAAACTCGCAGAAATCCTCCTGCCTCAGCCTCCCTAGCTAGGTATGTGCCACCACACCTGGTTTGAACATTTGCACCTTGACTTTTATGTGAATGGAAGCATGTCAGCATCTATCATGTTCAAGGGACTGGTATTGGGGATAAAAGAAGAAACAAAATAATGACCCTGCCCTCCTGAAACCTGTTTAGAGTGTAGTAGTAGTGACAGTCAACAAACGGGAGCTACAGATAGGTCGACTGCCCTTGTCAAGGATCTTTTTTTTCTCCTGGAGGTGCAAGGTGGCCAATGGTTCTGAACTCGGGCGACATTCCATCAGCCCGTGGAATGTGTGTGGGCTTCTGGTTGTCACTACGCCTGGTCATTCGGACAGCAAACGTCTGGCAACGCGCTGGGCTGAGTCTCCCAGGACAGTCTCGTCGCGGCCAAAGTGCCAAGAACGCCCCGGCTGAGAAACAGGGCAAGGCACCACTTCTCTCTGGTGCTGGGCGGTCACGTGAAGAGGTCTGGGGAAAGGGGACTCCGTGAAGGGTCGGCAGGACTCAGGCGAGGCCTCCCGGGACCTGCGGCGCGGAGCAGGCGCGGGCCAGACGCAGAGGACCACAGCGACCCCTGCCTCTCCTCCGGGCAGCGTCCGCGAGCGGCGGGGGCGTTGCGCGCGCCAGCGGCGCGAGGTCGAAGGTCACGCGACGCCGGCATCATGGCTGCCTCCATGCTGTTCGCCCCTTGGGGCGCCCTGCGGCTCGTTGGGCCGGCTCTGTGCAGCCGGCGGCTGCCCTGGGGTGTGTGGGTGCACGCGCGGCTGCTGCCAGGGCCCGCGGAGACCCGGCGAAGCGTGGCGGCGGCCAGTGGTGCGGGCGGCCCAGGCACGGCCGGGTACTGCCTGGAGCTGCTGCGGTGAGCGAGTTGGGGAGCCGCCTTGGAGTTGGGGGACTGGGGGTCGGGGTGGGCGGCGGCGCAGCTGGGACTTGTGTGCGGTCCAGGCTGGCAGCCGGAGGATCTCTGGGTCCGGGCGTGTGAATGTGTGGAGGGAGTGAGGCAACAGCAGCCGTAGCATGGGCACAAAGTCTTTGCAAAAGTTTCTTTGGGTGCCTGAAGAATGTCACCTCGCCTGACCCTTAATGTTAACTTCAGCGTTTTTGTATGCATATTTCTTTTTATCTATGGGACAGCTAGTAATTAATTTTAATGGCAACGGTAGTTACCTTTGCTTTCTTTCTGTACCTTCTGCACTGTTACAAGTAGTTTATAAGTAGTCTGTTACAGATTGTGACCGCGCCTGACACAGAGTTACCGGACAGTAAATACAATGTAAGTCATTATTATATGGGCTAACTGTAGGGAATTTGCCTGAGGTTCACTGTGGTAAATTATCATAAAGCCAGGGACTTGAGGTGTTTTGTGCCCCTGTAGCACTACGAAGCCTGAGCATTTGGGAGTCACTTCTTAATTATTTGTGGAGGTGGGTTGTGCCTTCCTTGGAGCCCAGGCCTGACTGTAGAGACCAATAGCTAAGCTGCCCTCTGTCCTTCGTTTGCAAAAGTGTACAGTATCAGGTTTTTAAATACCGGGTCTCAAGGGCTTCTGATAAATACTGGAATGACTGAATTTAGATTTGATTGAGCAAGTAAAACACCTTCATTTCGTGTGTGTGCGCACGCACACGCGTGCGTGGGCATACTGGGGATCAAATCCAGGGTCTCATGCATGCCAGCGAAGTGTACCAACACGGAGCGACAAACCTGGCTTTTATTTCATTTTGGTTTTTAATTTGGTACTGGGGTTTGGATCCATGGACTAGTTCCTAAGTGTTCCATCACTGAGCTATGTCTTCAGTGCCTCTCCCACATTCCTTTTTTGTGGTACTGGGGAATGAGCACAG